CTCTTAACTCAGGCGCGCCCTGCGACGACGGTGTCTGGTCCCGGCGTGGCCGTATCGTGCGGCCTCAGGACACGGCCGTTCGCAGGACACCGTGAGTAGCGGAATTGTCGGGTTTTGGCCGATGCCCTGCGCAGCAAGATCAGCTGCTGATTTTCTGTTTGATTTTTTGTAGCTGACGGAGAGACGACAGCCTGGCGATGGCAGGAACTTCCCGGCTAGCCAGGCGGCCTTCCTTGGCGCTTCGTGTGGATCCTCCCCACCGGGCATGCGAGAGCTGAGTCGAAGGCTACGACCCGCGGAGGGGATGAAAGCGGGGTGCCGGGACGGGACATGTGACCTGGGATTTTTGAGTCAGCTTTGGGGACGGGGAGGTCCAGGCTGTGGCCCCTTAGGCCGCACGGTGGGAGAGCCTCACTTTTGTTCACAGTGCTGAGGTGTGCAGGACAGAGCAGCCTCGGGGCGCGTCGTGTCACTTGTCCGTCGTGCCTTCTGTGTCTTTTGTGCCTCTTGTGTTGTACGTGCCTTGCCCTATCTCTTCTGGGGGCTTGCCAGAAACCCCAGCATCACACTTATAGCATCTCCAATCTCTGGGCTCCTCGGCTCGGCAGCTCTCAGAGGCCTCGGAATCGCGTCTCTTTTGAAAAGCATCCGATCGGATGTCTTTTAGACGTCTTGTTCCGAGCTGTGTCAACAGCCGTGCGCCGCGAGGATCCATTGTTGCGGCTTAGGACTTGAAGAAACGCAAAGATAGGTAGAGGATTGCTGCCATAAGATTCTTGGGCATCCGTCTTGGCGGTTCCTGGAGTTTGTCATTCCGTCAGCATCTTCTTCCTCCCGGGTTCTGTGAGCTTCATCAGCTCGCCTTCATTCTCACCCGGCTCATCTCGTTCCGCATTCTCTCAGTCCTTGCGGCCGTTCTTGTGGCCCAGAGTTTTGTCTCCCCATTGTGTCCCCTCGTCTGTTGTCTGGTGTGTCACGGGTGTCTGGGTGTAGTTGTCCCGGAGCTGCTCTGCCCTGCTGCCCAGCCTGGCTGTAGGTGTGTGTAAAAGGCCAAGTCCCAGGCCCCTGTAATTTGAAATTTGTGATGTAGGGTGGAGTTGGGGTCTAGAACATATTCCTAGATCAACACAAGATGTCTGGAGCTGTGAAGTTATCCTGCAGCGCTTTGAGTTTTTTCTTAGCTTTCTAAGCATTTTATTATTTGCTGCCCAATGTGGGGTTCAGAAGAGTTAGGAAAACCTATGCTAATTATGTTGTATTGGTACTTACTGTGTGTTGGGATAAAGGACTTTGTAATGGCCGAGAGCCGCAGCCAGGGTAAGGGGGTTCCCCCAAGAAGGTAAGTCAATGTTTGTCTTTGCAGGGCAACTGGAACCGGTCACTGTGTTACAGGTCTCCTCTTTGTCTTTATTTTTAGGAAATAGAGCCGGCCAGCAGCAGTCAAGGTGAAGCGGGCAAGGTGAGCGTTGACCGGTGGAGGGAGGCTGTTGTTATCGCTGGGCTCTCAGTTTCTGGTGCGACGCCAAGCGTCCCTTCTTGTTTGCGCGCTTTAGGCGGTCCAGTCGCGTTTCGTCGAGACCCCGTCAACCAGCCGGCCGGCACGCCTGCTTCGCCGCTCCCGTGAGCCCTGCGGAAGCGTTACAGGGACCGCGTGACGGAGCCTTTTCCACGTAAAGGGGCCGTGGGGGTGGCCTTCAGGAACGGGCCGAGGGCTTCCCGTGAGTTGGGGATGTCAGGAGGAGGAGCGAGGGCCTGTTCAAGTTTCAGCAACGCCACATCACTTTTTTTTCTCTTAACTCAGGCGCGCCCTGCGACGACGGTGTCTGGTCCCGGCGTGGCCGTATCGTGGGGCCTCAGGACACGGCCGTTCGCAGGACACCGTGAGTAGCGGAATTGTCGGGTTTTGGCCGATGCCCTGCGCAGCAAGATCAGCTGCTGATTTTCTGTTTTATTTTTTGTAGCTGACGGAGAGACGACAGCCTGGCGATGGCAGGAACTTCCCGGATAGCCAGGCGGCCTTCCTTGGCGCTTCGTGTGGATCCTCTCCAGCGGGCATGCGAGAGCTGAGTCGAAGGCTACGACCCGCGGAGGGGATGAAAGCGGGGTGCCGGGACGGGACATGTGACCTGGGATTTTTGAGTCAGCTTTGGGGACGGGGAGGTCCAGGCTGTGGCCCCTTAGGCCGCAGGGTGGGAGAGCCTCACTTTTGTTCACAGTGCTGAGGTGTGCAGGACAGAGCAGCCTCGGGGCGCGTCGTGTCACTTGTCCGTCGTGCCTTCTGTGTCTTTTGTGCCTCTTGTTGTTGTACGTGCCTTGCCCTATCTCTTCTGGGGGCTTACCAGAAACCCCAGCATCACTTATAGCATCTCCAATCTCTGGGCTCCTCGGCTCGGCAGCTCTCAGAGGCCTTGGAATCGCGTCTCTTTTGACAAGCATCCGATCGGATGTCTTTTAGACGTCTTGTTCCGAGCTGTGTCAACAGCCGTGCGCCGCGAGGATCCATTGTTGCGGCTTAGGACTTGAAGAAACGCAAAGATAGGTAGAGGATTGCTGCCATAAGATTCTTGAGCATCTGTCTTGGCAGTTCCTGGAGTTAATTGTTCCATCAGCATCTTCTTCCTCCCGGGTTCTGTGAGCTTCAT